TTGCAAATATTATGTTTGTCTCAGGAGGAGGAGGAGGGGGAGGAGTTGGAGGAGGAGGGTTTAGTGACTCTCCATTCCCCCGCGATTTTCTTCAGGTGAACTACATTTTTTCTATAAGTTTGGCCGGTCTCGTTATTTTTCACCTCGACATCTGCGCCCTGTTTATTAGTAATAGTGTGAGGAGTTGGGTCAAACGTAGGAGTGAGTTTATTTTCTTTCGTGATGTTTTTCACGAATACTTTGTCCCCGCATTCAAGTCCACTTTGTTGAGCTTTCCTTTTCCTATCTGCATATATCTTCCCTCTTTCTTTTTCCCATAAATCTCTGTCGCTTATTTCTTCTTCAATTACATCTGAGGGACTGATAGCTGAACTTGGTAAACTAGGTAGTTTGTCGCGAAAACGTCGCCGAAAAAATAATTCAGATGGCGTTTTTCCTGTAGTAGCATGTGGTGTGCTATTATACATCGTTAAGTACTCCAGTAGATCAGCCTTCCAGTTTTTCTTGTTGATCTGACTTATTTTTAGCCTTTTCAGTATGTCCCTGTTTTGGCGCTCTACTTCCCCGTTCTGTTGGGGCCAGTAGGGTATTGTGTGAAAGAGAGTTATATTATTAATTCGGCAAAAATTCTTGAATTCTTGGCTACAAAATTGTTTACCGTTGTCTGCCGTTATCGATTCTGGTAAACCCAGCCTTGAAAATACTTCCTCTAAGATTTTGATAGTGCTGGTGGAGGTTATGGTATTCATGCATTTGATCTCCTTATAACGGCTGTAGTAATCTACAATCACCAATAAATATTCGTTGCTCGGAAGTGGTCCCATGAAATCAATTGCGATATCCACCCAGGGACTCGAAGGTAACTGCCGCCTCTTCATCGGTTCTGGTGGATTTGGAGCGGACACTAGGGTACAGTCTCTGCATTCTTGAACAAACTTTTCAGCCTCGCTGTCTACTCTTGGCCACCAAACTTTGGTACGGAGACGTTTCTTCATCGCTACAATTCCTGGGTGGCCTCCGTGTGCCAACTCTAGAACACGTTTCCTTAGTGCTTCCGGAATGACTATTCTATCACTACGTAATAACATATTCGAGTAGAAACAAAGTTCGTTTTCAAAGATTTTGTATCTTTCTGTGCCACTCAACCATTTCCCTTCACTCAGTGCATTTTTAACCATCTGTATTTCCTGGTCATTTTTGGAATATTTTTCGAGTTCTTTCATTGAAATTGCTACAGGCTTTGAGTATTCAACGATTTGGTGTATGAATTCCCTTTCGAAGGGTTGATCACGTGTTAGGTCTGAATGCAGCCGAGATAGTGGATCTGCGATATTTTCTTTGCCAGGGCGATACACTATTCTGTATTTAAAGGACTGTAGCCTTAAAACCCAGCGTTCAATCCTTGCACAAGGCTTAGATTTTGGCCCGAATATAGTCTCGAGGGGCTTGTGATCCGTAACGAGTTCAAATTCGTCTTTTCCAAATAAGTATATTCTGAAGTGTTCAACAGCCCATACTAACGCGAGGGCCTCTTTTTCTGTTTGACAGTATCGCCTTTCACAATCCGTCAAACTTTTGTTAGCATAAGCGATAACTCTGGGACCCCTGTTGTCAAATTGGATTAGGACAGCTCCCAATCCCACGGGACTAGCGTCAGCTATAACCTGGGTCCGGTCCTTAGGGTCGTAGTATCCTAAAACTGAGTTACTCGAGAGTGATTCTTTTAGCTTGGTAAATGATTCTTTTTGTTCGTTTCAGTTTTAGTCGCAAAAGTTTCCTTAGAGGTTCGGTCACTGTTGCCAGATTAGGTATCCATTTCCCCACAAAATTTACCAAACCCAGGAAACTCTGTAGTTCTTCTACCGTTTTGGGGGCACGAAAACTCTTAATAACCTTGATATGTACATCCAACGGTTTAATGCCGTTGGATGAAAGAATATGACCAAGAAACGTGATGGATTGCATGTTATATTGACACTTGTTCTCGTTGAGTAATACGTTGAAATTCCTAAGTGTGTCTTGCGTCTTTTTTAATCTCTGGTTATGCTGGTTCTCATTTTCACCGAAAACTATTATATCGTCTATAAAGTTAATAGTACCTTGACAGTCAATCAGAATTTTCTCCATAATTTTCTGGAAAATCTCCGGGGCGCATGTGATACCAAACATAAGCCGTTTATATCTGAAAAGACCTCTTTTAGTAATGAATGTAGTGATAAATCGCGAGTTTTCGGATATTTCCACCTGATGGAACGCATTTTTTATATCCAGGCGAGAAAATCGCGCGGCTCTCCGTAACTGTGGTACCAGTACCTCCATAGTTGGTAATGGTCAATGCAAATACGAACCTCTCCATTCTCTTTCAATACGGGTACAATAGGGGATATCCATTTTGACGGCTCGTTAACTTCTTCAATTATATCACCCTCCAAAAGATCTCGTAGGGCATCTTCGACTTTCGTTTCTAGAGGTATAGGTATCCTCCTGTATGGCTGAGCAACTGGTTGAATGTTTCCATCAATTGGTATATCCACTATTATATCCTTGAACTTTGGAAATGGAGAGGACACACAATTTACATTGATATGTATCTCTAGTATCCCAAGTGAAGTAGCTGTCTCTTTTCCGAGTAGACATTTCGTGCCATTTTTTATGACATAAAACAAAGCGTCCTCTTTCTTGTTGTTAGCTTTAATCTCAGCTTCAAAACACCCCAATATTTCTAGTGGCTTATTACTCGCGTAAGCAACGAATTTTTTGTTTACATCGTTTTCTTGTCTTTTTACTTTGATTTTATTAAATTTTAGTTTTTCCCATGTATTCCCGTCTATGATGTTGTTTTTACTACCTGAATCGACAATCATGGGTATTACAATACCGCCTACTTCACATGAGATGGTAGTATCTTCATCAAGGTGGAAAATGTAGTCCACCTCCTCAGTGTCACTATCTATTTTATTAATTGAATTTGATTTTTTTGGATATTTTTTCTTTGATTCGTGCTCCTGAGGAAATGAACTTTTTCTTTTGGATCTACAACAATTTTTATAATGACCTATAAAATTACATTTATGACAAATTGATTTTATTGCTGGGCAGTTTGGATTCTGTGAATCATGGCGAGGATTACCACATCTAGAGCACCCGACCTTTCCTTGTTTTGTGAGGAACTGTTTTGTTTTTTTTTGTATTTTATTTATATCGCTAGTACTGGGCAAATTTTTCTCATGACTCTCAAATTTTTCCATTTGCCGATCCACAGACTCCAACGCATTTGCCTCAAAAATAATATCATTCAGTGTTATATTATCTCCAAATGATAATATTTTCCTCCTCAGCTCTTTTGATTTACATTTTTCCGTTATCTGGTCAATGAGATGTTCTTCCGTATTAATGAACTGACATTTTCCTGCCTGATGTCTCAATCGCACCAAAAATTTGTCAAATTTTTCATCACTTGCCTGGTTCATTAGCCGGAAGGTATTCTTTCAAATAGTTTACTTTGCTTTGGCATAAAGTATTCGTCCAGTTTTTGTATAGCCACCTTGAAGACATCCACTCCTTGGTTCTCTTCCAAAGTTGCATCGACTTCTGCACCTGGCAAAGTAAAGAATATTTCTTGAAGCCCTATTCCACCTGAATGCAGAAGAATGGCTCGCTTCTTTAATGCATCAGTTATGTCCGAGGCGGCTAGGTAAATTCCTAGAGCTCTCTTCCACTTCTCCCATCTCGTTGCAAGCGAAAATGGATCGCCTTCACATTGGAACTGCTCAACGCCCGACATACTGGCCATCTCTGAAATTCGGAAAAATAATTTTATTTTATTTGGTATTTGTCCCGCTGGACCGATGGCTTGATGACTAACTTATTCACTATAAGCCTTGCACCTCATTTGTCACGCTAAGCCAGATGACTCACATTTTTTTATGTATATATTTGGCCCTTTATAAGCTTCAAGTTTGTTTGTTCAACCAAGCCAAATTGACTTGTTGGGTCCTAAGACCCACTTCCTGAGCCATTTAGACCCACTAAGCTTTTTAGCTTATTTGTTTAACCAAGCCAAATTGACTTGTTGAGTCCTGAGACCCATTTCCTGAGCCGTTCAGACCCACTAAGCTTGGCAGCTTATTTGTTTAACCAAGCCAAATTGACTTGTTGAGTCCTAAGACCCATTTCCTGAGCCGTTTAGACCCACTAAGCTTTTCAGCTTATTTGTTTGACCAAGCCAAATTGACTTGTTGAGCCCTATGACCCATTTTCTGAGTTGTTTAGACTCACTAAGCTTTTCAGCTTATTGTTTGACCAAGCCAAGTGACTTGCTGAGTCATATGACTCATTTTCCAGAGCCGTTTCGACCCTCTAAGCTACTTGAGTATCTATTTTACTAAACTAATTCGACCTGTGTTCTGTATTATTTGTTTGCTACATTATCCAATCATCAATCGTTAGTTCTATTGTTATAATAACAATTTATTACTGATTTATATTCGACGTTGTTGCACTTACTTTCTCTGCCAAGTTTTTCCTGGTTTTGATTTCACTACTTTCCACTAGCACTTTATTTATGTTTTCTTTCTTAAATCACTTTTCACTCGTCGCCAAATGTAATATACTAATAAAACACTTGTACGCTATCAGAGAACTTTATTATTCCATGCACACTGTCCGGTCGTCCGATACCGAATGAATCATATTATGTTTCATATCGTTATCAATTACACAATCATTCTAATACATATACTACAAGGTCGTTTTTTCATTTTAATTTCTACTGTGAGAATTGAAAGACTTATGGTGGGTGGTAATTTATAACGTGTCACCTTGTACAATTAAGAAAAACGATAATTTTTAAGAGTGGGTATATTGAAATAGTGAAAAACTGACGAAAAGAATCAGACCAAAATAATTTGTTTTAATCACCTGACTTACCTCCATATCATAATGCTTCATCAAGCTGGAGAGCTTCCTAAATGTTGAAAAAAACTTCATACTGATTTCAGGGTATCTTGGAAAGCAGATGGCATGAGATACATGATGTTGATTGATGGTGAAAATGAAGTATTCTTCTTCGATAGGGACCACAACATCTTTCATGTAGAAGGACTCAGATTTGTACATAGAAAAGACATCCGAAGGCATTTGAAAGACACTCTTTTAGATGGGGTCAGTATTATTCTTCACAAATATTTGACTCAGATATTACATTCATTGAGATGCCATAGCTTTGGTATCCACTACTGTATTTGATAGTTTTTTCATTTTGAAAATTAGGATGTTGTGACTCTGCTACCACAGTTGACCTTATATCTAAAGGAGGATAACCATGACGTCCTTTATTTTAACGATACCGGGTGTTCCTCAAAGGTGGCTCACTCCAATATCTCCTTTGTTTTTACATGAAAACAAATGATATTCGGTGTGTAGGTACATAAATAAGCATTTTGTCACCTATTCAATTGTTTTTTGTCATTTCAGGTTAGACCGGTAATTACCTCATCTTCATTTTGAATAGGACACCCAATATATTTTTATTTATTTCCACAGAAATTCACACATTGTGATAACCATTTGCAGCATTTTTGACATTTATCCTCCTGAATTTTTTTAATTGGAGTTTTCAATCTAGAGTGGAATGAATAAGTAAAACTGTTTAATTTTCAGAAAAGTTGCCAGGGAAAAATAGTTTCAATGAAGTTTCACTTTTCATTTCATTTGACGTTCACAAAATTGTAATGATCATGTTAACTCAATTAATATAACAAAGGTGGCTCATTACCATATCTGGAAAAGACATCTTGTTATGAACAATTAGATACCACACAATCTATCAATGAATAAAATCCACTACTATAATCTGTCTAAACGCTCAATATCAGCGAGGTTGTGCGATATCTAACTACAAGATAGAAGATGACAAGCGATGTAGCCACGTTTCACAGTGAATCTTCTTTGGTGTGAGTTTATATTGCTCATGTCTCATAAACTCATAGACGTCTATCACCTGTATAAGGAAAAGATCATCCTGTTAAGGATAAGGCAACCAAGAATATTTTCACATATTAGGAGAACAATGAATCACTGAGTGTGACGTCAATAGTTTTGAGTATCAAATTTCGACCGTTTGAATGATTTTGTGATTTTCAAACATAAAAAACCATCCATTATCTTTTTGAAAATAATAATATCAAAAGCGTAAGTGTGAAGATCATGTTGAAGATTTTATAAAAAGCTGGCAACAGCGATTTGGCTTCTAGCCATCAACCAGTCTGAATGTACAGATATCAAAATCTGACATTGATAAATATGTGCTAGGATCATGTTTTAGACTTTTGTTCATGACAATATATCAAGCCAATATCAAATTTTAAAATAGGTAGTGGAAAAACTCATATCATTCTTAGGAACGGTGTTATCAATCATAAGTTAAAACTGCATCCTAGCTAACTGACAGCTAATATTGACTAATAGTGTTAATGCACCTACTGTTTATCCACTACATATCAATCATCTACTTCGCTAACTCCGAGTTACGAGAATGTCGTGATTTTCGAAAGGTCTGATTTGATTGGTCTAAGAATCCTCTCAGAGCAAAACTCTAAAATCGGTGTCTTCTTCACCGAGATAGTTATATCTGTGGTTTACTTGCTTAGCCGTTATCTATATTGTCGAAAAAGTCAGGAGATGGATATAAACCACAAAAATATTGAAGTAGTAGCGGACTTTGGAGAAAGTGAAGGCAGATTATTGTTAATAATGGTGAAAAGTTTCGAACAATCTTATTGAGAATAAAAAATTCTCGGAAAACTCTAATGCAGTGACTTGGTGACATAAGGAAGCAATTTTGGAAGCGACAATAAGACAACTGTTTTTTTTCTCTAAGAAACTCAAGAATCTCTTCAAGCAATATAAAAGGCATCATCAATATATACCTATGCAAATATTAAACACAACAAATATCCTAAATCAGTATGAATCTGAATCTATCACAGTTATAATATGATCAATGTTCAATTTGTATGTATTCACAGGAACCATATGAAATACATCAAATTTCATATGGTTCCTGTGAATACATACAAATTGAACATTGATCATATTATAACTGTGATAGATTCAGATTCATACTGATTTAGGATATTTGTTGTGTTTAATATTTGCATAGGTATATATTTATATATTTTTTTCAATCTTGTAATAATATGTGTGATTATAATGTATGCAATGGATAACCGTAAATAAAGTTCTATTCTATTCTATAAATATTACTATTGAATTCAACAATTTCATCATATAATCTGTGTTTCCTATCTACCTATCTATTGGAGTTTCAATGTTTCCTTTTATTTGCTCCAGGATCATCAACACTTGAGTTTTGGATAAGGATAACTTCTCAAGAAAGCTTCATCATTAAATCATGATAAGGATCATTTCTTGATCTCACAAAGGATATGGCCTCCTCTCATGTCATAACGTATAATCTCCACATCTTCATCATTACTCCAAAAATCGATTCTTTCATGATAAAATTACACAATTTTTACTAATAATGAGGAAAGATAGGTCAGTTTCAGAAATTAGCTGTGAGTTCAACTCTTAATTTTACTTTCACACAGTCAAATTTGCGGATACTTAAGTTGTCAGTTCTAGAATACTCTGAGAATGATGAACAGCTTAACTAGAGGTTAAATCTTAGCTCAAGGTAAATTTGACTCAACTAGCGATTGATGAACCGGCCTATAAAAAAGTGGACATAAAGGTTTTCGGATTGGTTTAAATAAAGGATACTGTTAAATAGTTGATGCTAAGCGATTTTTTTCTTCATGAAATACAGGGTGAGTCACGACTAACCCGCCATAGCCTAATGGCGGATAGAGGAAGTCAAGGTAATATTTAAGGTGATTCCTCAGGTCATTTTATGGAAAAAAGTTCCCATAAATGTAGGTCCGGAAATGCTCTGTTTCCAAGATTGGTGTTGAAGTTTTTTTTCATATAATGTTTTTTCAAATTAATTCAAATATCTTCTCACGAATTTGTTCGAAATTTGGCAGCGTTGTTTCTAGTGATAAGGGTCGGATTTGATGAGACATTTGTTGCAGTCGTTCTGAGCCATGCGCGTATCTACAGTATATATTTTTTTGTTAATTTTTTAAATTTTTTGTGCGTAGCTATAGCTACTATTATATACCTACTCCTTTTTTAATTCTCTGAGTATCTCTTTAATTTTTGTTGTTGTTTTACCTTTTAAAAATTTCCCAATCGGTCAAGCCGTTTAGTACCGACAGCAGCGCCACCTACCGCGTCCAATTGTATTTTTAAATCAACCAGGAAACCTTCGAAATACCCATATAAAATTTCAACCCAATCGCTTCAGCCGTTTAGAAGTTATGTGATAAAGATAAGTACGGAAGGATAATTCCTACTGCCCGTTGTCTTTTTACCCGTTTTCCCATAGGAGTGAAGCATTTTCCCGCGGTAAAAAGCCTATGTTCATCAGGCATAATTTCGGCTTCTAAGGGTGAAAGGATTTTTCAAATCGGTCCAGTAGTTTTGGAGCCTATTCAATACAAACAAACAAATATTTCCTTTTCATAATATTAGTATATCAGCGATTCAAATTGTGATTTTGATGTTCATTATTCAGAAAACACTAAGAAAGAAGGCTGTGATGGATGTATGAAAATGGATCGAAATAGGTATTATCTCTTAACAGGATGGGGCACCTCCGCATTACTCAATACGAGTGAGATAATACCTAGACAAACAATTCTCTAATCGCTGGATAGGTCGTGGCGGCCCTCATTCTTGGCCCCCTACGTCCCCCAATCTCACAGTGTCAGACTATTAACTATGCAGACATATGAAACGATTGGTCTATCATACTGAAGTCAACACCAGAGAGGAACTGAGGGAGAGAGAATTGTTACCGCTTCAGATTTAATGATGGAGCTTCCTTAAGAAGTTTTCCTTATTCAAAACTCAGAGTGTTGATGATTCTGGAGGACATAGAAGGAAAAATTGAAACTCCAATAGATATGTAGTTAGGAAACACAGATTATAGTATGAAATTGTTGAATTCAATAATCATTTTTATAATATGAACAATGTTTAATTTGTATGTAGTCACAGGAATCATATGAAATTGATGATGCCTTATATTGCTTGAAGAGATTCTCGAGTTTATTACAGAAAAAAACAGTTGTCTTGTTGTCGCTTTCAAAATTGCTTCCTAATGTCATCAAGTCACTGCATTAGAGTTTTCCGAGGATTTTTTATTCTCAACAAGATTGTTCGAAACTTTTCACTATTATTAACAATAATCTGCCTTCAGTTTCTCCAAAGTCCGCTACTACTTTCATATTTTTGTGGTTCATATCCATCTCCTGACTTTTTCGACAATATAGATAATAATTTAAACGCTTATGCAAGTAAACCACAGACATAACTATCTCGGTGAAGAAGACACCGATTTTAGGGGTTTGCTCTGAGAGGATTCTTAGACCAATCAAATCAGACCTTTCGAAAATCACGACATTCTCATAACTCAGAGTTAGCCAAGTAGATGATTGATGTGTAGTGGATAAACAGTAGGTGCCTTAACACTATTAGTCAATATTAGCTGTCAGTTAGCTAGAATGCAGTTTCAACTTATGATTGATTCTTGACATTATGTTTTTAAGGAGATGGTAATAGACAAGGTAAATGGTGAAGACATACCAAGATACCTTGCCTATGACATAATCATCTTCGAAGGGCAACAAGTCGGTAAGTTGCCGTTCCACCCCACTAGGTTACATTGCTTGGAAAATGAAATAATCAAACCGAGGTATTTCGCGATGGAGAACGGTGCTATAAACAAGTCCCTCGAACCATTCAGCATAAGGAAGAAGGACTTCTGGCAGATAACACAGGCGGCTAGCTTGCTGGGAGAGAAGTTCGCCAAAACGTTATCGCACGAGCCGGACGGACTGATTTTCCAACCTGCCAAAGAGGTGAGTCATATTCGAGGTTCTCTACATAACAAAATATGAGATGAGAGATCGATTGTTATGAAGTATCGCCAGTGGTTTAGCACTTTTGGTTCAACGGGAAGTGAGGATGAACATGCTTATTTCTTAGGGAGCACTACATATCACTAACATAATTATGGACAATACAAAAATTATTTGTACCACTTCACTGAAGTTTCTAGATATTTACAGGGTGAAGCAAAAATGTGTACCGAGCTTTCTGGAGGAGATTGTACATTGAAAAATGAGTATGGTTTGATGAATAAACTAAGGTACCAAGATGTATATTAATGGAGATATATCCTTCCACAGTTGATACAATTGAAATAATTTTCCCACATAACTTCTAGGTAAAGGCCAACAGATTGAAATTTCCTGCATGATTGTATGTTGCTCCTACATTTCTGATATTTTGAAGACAACTATTTGCCCCGTATTCTTTTTGGTGAAAAAGCATTTGATAGATGAAAAAAACATGAAAGTAATATTATAACTGCGATTTTCAACAGAGATTTTAAGAAATTGTAGGTTATTCGTAATGCTGAGATGTTTCCCGCTCGACACGTACCAAATTCTAGAACAATTTGCGATTATGGAAATTGAAGATGGTGTCCGGCCAAGAAGTCCGAACCCTCCTGAAATATTATTACTGATGAATTTATCTGCTGATATCATGTCACTACAAAAACTCAAATATCTCGAAAACGGTTACAATGTTTGTATTTTGACAAGAGTACCGTTTTTCTGTAATGATTTTCGCTCTATCAAATGCTTCTATTTTTTCACTACAAAAAATACGACGAAGAATGTTGTATTCAAAAAATTATGACTCACCCTCTAGAAACCCCCTTTATAACAACGTAGAAGTGTCTCAAAAAACTGTATTTTCTCCTAGTGCCTTTTATCGTTTAGAAGTTATTTAGGAAATTATTTCAATTTTATCAACTTTGGAAGGATATAAATAGCTCTCTTAATATACATAATGGGCCATTAGTTTATTCATCAATCTATACTTATTTTTCAATATACTGTCACAACAAAAGTGTTGTTTTTGTTAAAAATGAATTAATGTTTTTACTTAGTTTTTGTATGGGTACAGATGGTTTTAGCATGCCTATCTGTGTGCACTACCAGGAACGCCCCATTTGAAGATCAAACCGAGGCAGTCCAGTTTTAGCATGCTGGACCGTTCGCATATCCTGGCCAGATGCCCCATATAAAAACACATTTTTATATTCAATACTTAAAATAATGAAAACTGTCTTACTAAAATATTTGTTTGACTTCAATGAAGAAGATGATATAATTGAAAAACAAAAGAACATGATATTTCGATTGATTGATTGATTTAATAGTTTGCGAGAGGTAATATTCAAATAGGCACTAATAGTTTAGGGGTAACTGAAAGTCCGAGACTATATTCAAAGATAACAATATGTATTATAGCATGAAACATTATGGGTAGCAATGACAAAATATGAATCAACAACAATGAATATAAAGACCTAATAACAACTTACATTATAACGACCATTACGACGAGCTCTTGTCAAGTCAAGAGTAGCCCCAGACCAGACTAACTTTGGAACCCTCACATCCAATATTTTTATACAACATTTTATTGGATATGCACGTTTCTCATGAGTGTTCCTTGGTCAGTTTTTATAATTCAATGTCAACGGATGATTTGATTTACTTTGTGTTTATAAAACCCTCATGGTTCGAAATAACTGATATACCGTATGTTCTACTCGTGACAATACTATCACCTCCAGAAAGCTCGGTACACATTGTACATTGTACATTGAAGAACCTTCAAGATCGGATTGAATTTCAGAACCGAATTTTTTCGTATCAATATGTGAACGGTGAACATTTCGAGCATTTTTGAGCACTTGTTACAATAATTTGTGTTTGCATTTAAACGTTTTACCAGACCTCGCTAGCTTGTCCGGTTCAAAAGTTTAAGGCGGGGAGGGCTTTTTACGTCCTCACTGTAATTGATAACTGTACCATTCATGGTTAAAATTGTTATATTATGTTATATTAAAAATGGTTCAATCAAATGTGTGTATCGTTCAATGTCAATGTTTCCTGTTTATCAAGTGAAATAGTCTAATAAAATTGTATTCATTACTGTATTTATCTCATAAGTCATCTTTCATTCTTGAGTTCCACTGAAATGCTTCGAGAAATTCAGTTTCATGCATGAATTAGTCAACATACTTATCAAACCTGAAAATTCGATCACTTGTGATTTCACTACTGACAATGTTATGACGCAGAATTTTTCAATAATTATATATGTTTATATAATTTTACCTCAGTGATACACTTTTAGCCTTATAAAGCTGGACGCTGTGATGATGTTCTCAAATGGAAACCTCTAAATATGAATTCTGTAGATTTTAGACTGAAGATTATGAAGGAAGAAGGTGAAGGGTGAGTGGCTTTATGATATTCTTACTGAACATTGTATTTAATTTTGTTGTTGTTGTTGTTTTTTAATGCGATTTTTATAAGCAGAATACTTGAGTTGAGAGTATGAGCTGTTGGGTGTATAGGTAATAATAATGATAATAATGCTTTTATTGTCAAGAAGATACAACAAAAAAAAACTTTAACATAAATATGGGAATGTTGACAAGAGGCAGAGTTCACACTAACTGCATGAATCAGAGAGCAGTGCTCTTCCACTCAACCTTGTTACTGTTCACTTGTTATTCAATATATGATATGATATAACCATAGTGGAAGGAGAAGATGGTGTGCCTACGCGCATATTATGTGACGTCATCTGGGATACCCATATCAGCTGCTAGTCACAGACATTACCGTTGCCATGGGCGTGCGCAATGAATTGAATCACGTTTATTGAAATTTCTATGAGTTTCTCGATCTGTTTAGAAATAATTTAATTTATATAAACAGGTACTTATTACTTCAATTTTACTATTTCATTGATTCTGGAAATTGTGACGTTGAGGTAATTCGCAAACGCAAATAGCAAAAATATAAGAATTAGCATGCATTGCCAATCCCATCTGAATGATCCACTACTGTGTCGATTCTGACAGATTCAAATTCAGCAGTTAGCGACGTTGACGTTGCTTCTGCTCCGACATCGACAACAGGAGTATGAATTTTTGCCGTTTTGTTATTCAAATCTTTGCTGCAATTTATATTTTGTGAGAACTTAAGAGTTTTGAATTCATTTTCAATTATTTCTGACTTGATATTCGATGGAAGATGTTCTGTAGGAATGGCATCTTGTTTCAAATATTTGTGATTTTTTGTCAAGAACCGTACTTTCGCAGTTGTTTGGGAACATTTTGCATGGAAATGTTTTGAAGAGATACGTGCTGTAATATGAATGTGATGATAATATAATAGGAGAATACTTTGGAATGAGGATATAAGAATATAAGGTAGGTACCATTATTTGAGTTTATATTCTGTCGGCAGCAAGCTCCCATCGTTTCATTAGGTCTCCATTCTTGGAAAAGCAAAAAAATTCAAAATCTGTACCTTTTGTATGTTAGTTGGAATTTCCATAACCAGAAACGAAACAAGTGAGCATTTCGAAATTATTTCATACAATTTTAGTACTTATATAATATCTGAAGGTCGAGACATCAATCACGAAAACAAATAATAGCAATGACAGTTTATATCCCAGCTGACGTCATGCGCAGAACAAGACGAGTTTGAGCTTTCTGTTGAGCACACCATCTTCTCCTTCCACTATGGATATAACATTTTTTTATAGTTTTCTTGAAATGAATTCTATTGAATATTCGTGACAAGGATGATAAGATCTAAACTTTTTTTACGTCATTTACCTCATCTAAGAAACATCCACTTCGTAGCCGCTTTGAACTCTGTTTGCTTTTTCACTAGTTTTATGAACTGTGGTAAGTCGCTTCGTTCTCCACGATTTTTTATATGCCTTCCATGAGAGACTAGCTCTCGATGCGTACAATTATTTTTATTTCTGACAGTGACATTATAAGCTCATATCGTCATAGTTACGATATCTATAATGAGGGTCATAACTCCCTTGGGATGTTATAGATGCTATAATTCCCTCTAGCTAAAATTAAATAAGAAATGCATAGCAACAACCACGCAATAACGTAGCAATAAGGAATCTCCTATTCGCGGTAGTCAAGATCATCATCTGACGTTCTGATGACATTGAAACTATACGGAAAAACATGTCTAACTTCCAATCGGGAAGGTATCTAATGAATGAAATCAGTCAGAAATAAAATTATCTATGTATCACGGGAATTATAGAGCCTTAATAACCTCTGGCAGTTGCTGTCCCTCGGGCCAGAGGCCCTCGGGACGCAAACTTTGCCATCGGTAATTAAGGCCCTCATAATTCCCTTAATACATAATAGTTATTTATGTATTAAGGGAATTATGAGGGCCTTAATTACCGATGGCAAAGTTTGCGTCCCGAGGGCCTCTGGCCCGAGGGACAGCAATTGCCAGAGGTTATTAGGCTCTATAATTCCCGTGATACATAGATAGTTTTATTTCTGACTGATTTCATTCATTAGATACCTTCCCGATTGGAAGTTAGACATGTTTTTCCGTATAGTTTCAATGTCATCAGAACGTCAGATGATGATCTTGACTACCGCGAATAGGAGATTCCTTATTGCTACGTTATTGCGTGGTTGTTGCTATGCATTTCTTATTTAATTATAGCTAGAGGGAATTATAGCATCTATAACATCCCAAGGGAGTTATGACCCTCATTATAGATATCGTAACTATGACGATATAAGCTTATAATGTCACTGTCAGAAATAAATAACTATTATCAGCCATAACATATTTAGAGCATTTTCATGGACCAACAGGTCAAACGATGTGAAAGCTAGACTTATGACACCATATATCATTGATAGATAGCCATAGGAATCTCCGGCTGTACTATACAGTGTGTCTCACTTCTAATGGAAACACCCCTGTATCTTACGTAATCCTTGGGTAAGGATCCTGACATTTGCTGAAGCGAAATAAATACCAAAAATGCACTCTATGACCAAGTGGGGTAATCTTCAGTGATATACACTGCTCGCCAACAGCCATGGAACCACCACAATTTCCGGAAAATGATATTAGGATGCAAAATAGGTCAAAAATCACTTCGGATTCGGAATCAGGAAGTTCAATTTAAAGACTATTCAATTTTCTCATGAAAAATTAATTTTTGTCTCACTTTTCATGGAAATATCTTACGTTATAATAATCGATGTAGGAGTCTGAAATTTTTAGGAGCAAGAAAGAGACCAATGATCAAGTAGGTTCATCTTCAATGATATACTCCTCGCCAGCAGCGACAGAACCACCGACATTCCAAAAGGAAAAATTTCATTAAATCGAAAAATTCATTACATAGTTGTTCTGAAATTGATAGTCATAAAGTCAGTTCTCTTCAGGAAGAATAAGATAACAATCTGAACTAGTACAACGAATAGATCAACCAATGAATCAGAAATCATGACGGGTGTCATTAAAATGAATTATGAATGAATGAATGAAACAGGCACCCACTGGAGCATTATGATTATTATTCATTCTTGCATGGTGCTATTATTTCCACAAAAATATGTTGAAAACATCAGACAACATCTCAAAACAAATAGGGAGAGATACATCTAGTACTTTGACGCAGTTTGAGACAACATTGAAATTAATTGAATATCTTGATTTTTCCAAGGGCTGAACGCAATTAGTGATCAAACAGAAACAACAATAATACCAAGCTCGTATTTTACTATTCTTCCAAAATGACATGTATTCGAATTTCAGCAAACATCATGAGAATACTTCGTTATTATCTCAATTAACCGTGCCCTTTATCAACTCTCCCACAGTTAGAGAATTAGGCGTCCGGATTCCGAATCCGAAGTGATTCTCAACCTATTTTGCCACCTAATATCATTCTTCAGAAATTGGAGTGGTTCCATGGCTGTTGGCGAGCAGTGTATATCACTGAAGATGATCCCACGTGGTCATAGAGTGCATTTTTGGTGTTTCTCTTGCTCCAGCAAATTTCAGGATCCTAACCCAACGAATACGTAAGATACAAGGGTGTTTCCATGAAAAGTGAGACAAAAATGAATTTTTCAGAACTGAAAATTTTTCAGGAAAAACATGAATAGTCAGTGAATTTGGCGTCCTGATTCCGAATCCGAAGTGATTTTTAACCTATTTTGCCTCCTAATAACATTTTTCGGAAATTGGGGTGGTTCCATGGCTGTTAGCGAGCAGTGTATATCACTGAAGATGAAATCACTTGATCATAGAGTGCATTTTTGGTGTTTCTCTTGCTCCAGCAAATTTCAGGATGCTTACCCAACGATTACGTAAGATACAGGGGTGTTTCCATTAGAAGTGAGACACACTGTATATGCATCCAAGTTTTTTTTAAACTTTGATTACACATTCGAGGATATCGACACAAGGAGATATGAGTTCACGCAATTATTTGAATTTTGACTTAAAATAGTCCCTGTAGGACAGTCCTGCTCTTACACAGACCTTCGATAGGTGGCATGAGTGACCCCAGCTTAAAAGAGCATATATCATATTTGAATGGAAGTAAGCAAAGTAGGCTGTCGTGAAAACATCTACAGATACGTTACTTTTTAAATTCCTAATCAGTGTGACCCACTTCTAATGGAAACACCCCTGTATCTTACGTAATCGTTGGGTGACGATCCTGGATTTTGTTGGAGCAAGAGATATACCAAAAATGCACTCTATGAGTGGGGACATCTTCAGTGAAATACACTGCTCGCCAACAGCCATGGAACCACCCCGATTTCTGGAAAATGATATTAGCAGTCGAAATAGGTCGAAAATCACTCCAGATTCGGAATCAGGACGCCCAATTTACTAACTGTTCATATTTTCTCTGGAAAATTTTCAGTTCTGAAAAATTAAATTGTGTCGCACTTTTTACGGTAGCACCCCCGTATCTTACGTAATTGACTTTATCTTTGGACTTTCCCTTCCTCCTGACCCCCTTGGTCATAGAGTGCATTCTTGGTATATCTCTCGCTCCAGCAAATTTCAGGATCCTTACCCAACGATTACATAAGATACAGGGGTGCTTCCATGAGAAGTGGGGGTCACACTTTAAATAAAAAAGAGTTTCTTGCTCAAATTGTTTGCAGGAGTTTCCCATGTCAAAAGAGGGTAAATATAAACTCCTAAGAATTTTACCGGATCTGCTAAGGTTGTTTCATGGTGACGTAAGGTAAAAACTAGCGATTGAGATTTGCCGTCGTTCAAAGCCAGCTTGTTGGCTGTAATCCAGTTTTAAATCATCATATTCTGGGTCTTCACATTAGCTCTAAGAGTATCCAGGTTGTTTGATGAACTGATTGTTGTGGTCGGCAAAAATAATTACTTTGCTATTAATAATATGATGAGATAGATCATTTACATATATTAGGAAGATGTAGGGCCCAATATTGATCCTTGAGGCACTCCATTTTTCATCCAGACTTCACTAGAGACATAACTGTTATGTGACATGTTTTTGTCTGTCAGCTAGGGAAGATGACATTAAGTTGATACTATTCATTCTACGATTTTGATATTGATGTCATACCGGTACAATTTGAATTTTAGGTTTTCATTGATATGTATATTATCTGCTGGCTTTATAGTAATCGGTGGTAAAGTGACTACTAGGTCCTCTGCTATCCTAGAGAAGTACGCATTAAAGATTTTTGCTGATACATTTTCTCCATTTTCAGATTTTACGATGGGGTTTGCTTTGATAACTTTCCACATGGGCTTTTCTGTTCGCATTTGAAATACTCAAGCGATAGAAGCGCCTGTATGCACTAATATTTTCTTTAGGAATTACTTCAGAGTTTCTCTTATGTAAATCATTCATGGAGCGGAGTGTATCTCTGATTCGAATTAAGTCATGATTTAATCAGTTAATCATTGGTACATTTCTGATGGAAATTGTTTTTTGCTTAGATTTTTCGGGCATGGAGAATTAAGTTTTTTCGATGATATTAATAAATTTGTAGAACCTTACACACATTTCTTCGTTTTTGTCATTTTTATATTATTCCAATTTACATTTTCTGTACAGACCTGCATCTGTGATCCCTACCCATTTCTTTTACAAAGTTGAAATTTATCGCCCAGTGATCAGATATGCATGGGTCAAAGACATCTGCCTGATAGTAATCCTCCCTGTAGTTATTGAATACATTATCAAGGCAATTTTTACCTTTAATGGGTATGTTTGCAATATGGTGCAATCTGTATGACATAAAGAGATTGCATAACTGGTGTGCTTATTGATTATATTGATTACCAAAAGGATTGAATTCAACATTGAAATCACCTGTAATGATAATATTTTTTTTATGATCTAGTCAGAGTCTTCAAGCAACTTATAAAATTTAGCCATATAAATTACTAACTCACCATATCATGAAGTCGGACAATTCTTGGAAAATTTAAAATATAATCAGTATTCGAATATATGTAATATTTAATGTGTGCCATATTTTATTCTTAATCTAATTTTCAATAAAAAAGTATGATAAACAATGCAGATTGAAACTAATGTACAACTTTTTATATTTTCAGAATTGTTTCTCGAAAAATTTGTCATCTTTATGTAGGCCAAATGACTGCTCCCTTTGCCAAAATGAAGTATACAAAAAATTTGAAGGATTTGGACAACAAAATAGTGGAATGTAAAATGGAGGATAACCAGTGGAAGTTCATGAGAGAAAGAACTGATAAATCATTTCCCAATAGTTTCGAAACTGCTCAAGGTAAGAAAACAAAATCATTAGAATTGATTTATTTATTGTAATTGTTTTGTTGGACCCAAACACCTACCCACAAACTCACCGTGATATTGGCCGACTCAAACAGGCAATTGCTTTAATCAACCTAATTTTCATAATTTATTATTGAATGAAGTGAGTGAGAGGAGGAAGAATTCAGAATTTGATTAGAGTGTTAGCAGGTTTCACAAAGGTTATACAGGGTGTTCATTTCAGGACTTCCCACCCTGATTTTCTCGAAATGTGTGTATGTTTTTGAAAAATCCCGAGACTCGTCAACTACATTTTCGAGGGGGACAAGGTTCTAAAATATTTTCAGCCCCGCGGCGTTGCCGCTTCTAACGAAAAGAAGCAACAACTTTGTTATTTCGAATAGAACACCCTGTATTTTATTGCATTTTTAGATTCTCCCTGAAAAGCTGATTTCATCAATGTATCACACTTGGGGTCTAGCAGGAATGATTACAGAGATATAGGGTGTTCAAAATCGAGATTTTACAACTTTAGGATTTTTTTGAGTCGAAACTATTCATTATTGGTCAAAACGGCTTTCATGTCCCTATCTCAACTTTTGATTTACTATCTACTGACATTTATTTGAAACAAATACAGGGTGATCAAAAGTCTGAATCTTGAACCACCCTGTATTTGTTTCAAATAAATGTCAGTAGACAGTAAATCAAAAGTTGAGATAGGGACATAATAGCCGTTTTGACCAATAATGAATAGTTTCGACTCAAAAAAATCCTAAAGTTGTAAAATCTCGATTTTGAACACCCTATATCTCTGTAATCATTCCTGCTAGACCCCAAGTGTGATGCATTGATGAAATCAGCTTTTCAGGGAGAATCTAAAAATGCAATAAAATACAGGGTGTTCCATTTGAAATAACAAAGTTGTTGCTTCTTTTCGTTAGAAGCGGCAACGCCGCGGGGCTGAAAATATTTTAGAACCATGTCCCCCTCGAAAATGTAGTTGACGTGTCTCGGGATTTTTCAAAAACATACACACATTTCGAGAAAATTAGGGTGGGAAGTCCTGAAATGATCACCCTGTATATTCTCACCAAATTTGCCTAAACTGAGAAGATAGAGTCAGAATAATATTTCATTACAGGCAAATGAGATTTGTCAGATTTTTTTAAGATGATGTATTCGAAATAAATTCCTGCCCGCGGTTCTGACATCACAGGTTTTTAATCTCTGATTCAAAACGACGTCATAATGATTCCTGGAACTAATAATGCAGTGGAATTATCTCCATTCAGTTGCCTCATATTTTCTCAGCGTGTTCTGACTTTTGAAATGTCTTCAGAAAAATCAATAATTTACATCACTCAATTATAAAAGTATATTGCATGATATGTGCAAAAAAATTAAGAATAGGTCTTTCCAGTATGGTAAAATTTGACTCTTTTTTGCTGTAATGTTATGAAGGGAGGACAAAAACGTTATCCTGACCACATAATTATCGAGAATATTGAACAACAAATGAAATATTTTATATTGAAAATGATGATGGCTAATGTGACAACTATGTATACAAGAGAGATAATTAGCGATAACACAATGTTGCCAACTTGAAATACCTCATTCACCGCATAACTTCACTGTTCTCATTTCTCAATATCATTGACAAGGAGACAATGATGATTGTACTAATATCAATATAAAATAAAACTAAGTGAGCAATTTGGTATTGAATAATTAAAAATTTCTGGCTGAGTACCAAAACTAGGAAGTACTTACCTGGAAGGAATTTGAAAACTGAATGTCATGAATAGTTCAGTCATTGGGGATCCAAAACAAGGCTTACCTGGAAAAAAGTCCGGAAGTTTTGAAACTTTGTAGGATTATAGTTTCGGGTGTCCAGGACTAAAATTCACGAAATGCACATTCCGGGACATGCCGCCGGCGCCGCCATCTTGCCAAGATGGCGCTGAAAAACGGTTTTTTGAAAATATCTCCAAAACGGTGCGTTTTTAGAAAAAATATGAAGTCATAAAAATTCAAGATGAAGAAATTTTCTACAAGAGATGTTCCGAGCATATTTCTGCTAAAGAGAGCCGTTTAGGCTCAAGAGCTGATTGAATGACAACATATTCTGTTAATTTCTATAAACTGCCCCTAACTATCTCCTCATATGCGTATAAATTCATATTTTAAAATAAAACGGGCTATTCAATTTGTTCCTCGTTATATTGGACGATTTTGAGATCAATTATGCGACAAAAATTTTGCATTTGTGACTTGCGATTATTTGGGCGATATAAAAATTGCGTTATCGACGAATCTGGCGACTTTGCTCCAGAAGTATGTGGGTGCAGGATGGTTATGAGTAAATTTCGTACCTATAGGTACTATGTATCCGTACTGTAAAACCGCCTATAAATTCTTAGAAATTCGAAATTTTGCTTTCTTGTCTTTACCACTGCATCCCAATATGATAAATACACAAAATATATATTTCAGATGAGATATTTTTATAAACGGTAAAAACACAAGAACTTTTTCATCAACTAAATTAGCTTTCCTAACGAACACAATTTGCCAATCAGTAATTTTACGAGAAAAACGGACATGATAAAATTGCCAGACCGTATTTAACCAAGGAAAAATGAAGTTTCTAACAACATTAGAAAAACATAAAGAGTTACAAGATCATATTGAAGTTTCAAGTTGCCTTTGCCGGTGAGAAATTTGTCCTTGCACTCTATGGATTCAAAGACACAAATTACACCAATCGTGATAAATATCGATACCAGTGTTTCGTGAAGTCGGTAACAAAAAGTAAATTCAATTTGGCATCTTTACCACCGACAAGCGCAGCTGCACGACAGCATTCGTTGAGAACGTACTATCAGGTTCAACTATGGCGTGGTTGTCCGAAAGTAGTTGAATAATGGGGTTGGAAGAAAACACAAACTGGCCTCACTCCAATAACTACTTTGAAAGATCCTGCTTCCAAAGCACTACTTGCTTTTTTATCTTGTAAGTGCAAGGCGGCTTGTGGTAGAGCCTGCGGATGCAGGAAAGCAGGATTGCGATGTTCGATGATTTGCGGTGTCTGCAACGGGAAAACTTGTGAAAATATCAGCCAAGTGACACTGGACGAATCCGATGAAGAAGACCTCCATTCGCTGCATGATGATTCTTTATCGACTGCAGAAGAAGAATCCGACGAGTTGAAGGAAATTAACATCGATTCTGGAGCTGAGGTAACCAGTTTCCCCGTTGAATATATCGAAATCAACGAGCCAGGTCCGTCTGGCCTTTGCCAAAAATAATTTCAGTACCTGAGTGGATTAGGACTACAGGGGAAACCACGGGCCGTGTACTTAGCCTCTTGGGTGGTATGGAAACAAGTACAGCATTCAAAATCGAAATTGATTGATCATAAATTATTAACATGGATTAATTGATGAATTCATCGATCAATTGAATAATAGATATCCACCGTTTCGTGATAAATATTTTAAGTCGTTAAATATCAGATTTGGAGACCCCTAATACACATATTATTTCCGAAACTCGCCACTACAGAAAACTTACGCAACATATAATTTGGTAAGGGCACTTGTGCCTTAACGAGGGTACTTTAGCGAGAATATTCTAGGAACATATTTTATAGGAAATATCCTCTGTCAGCAAGCTATAAATATAACGAGAAACCAATTAGATAGCCCGTTTCATTATATAAGAAATTTATACGCATATTTGGAGATAGTTAGGGGCAGTTTATTGAAATTAACAGAATATGATGTCATTCAATCAGCTCTTGGGCCCAAACGGCTCACTTCAGCAAGAATATACTGGGAACATTTCTTGTACAAAATTTCTTCATCTTAAATTTTCATATCTTCATATTTTTTCTAAAAACGCACCGTTTTGGAGATATTTTCATAAAACCGTTTTTGAGCGCCATCTTGGCAAGACGGCGGCGCCGGCGGCAAGTCCCGGAATGTGCATTTTGTGAATTTTAGTTCTGGACACCCGAAACTATAATCCTACAAAGTTTCAAAACTTCCGGACTTTTTTCCAGGTAAAAATCCCCAATGACTGGCCTAGAATATCTGCACTCTAATTCAATACAAAATGAAATTTCTCTTACAATTTTGAATAGTCCACCAACAGAAATCAAACATCTAACTAATTATGCAGTGCAATTTTTCAGTACCACGAATTTTCAGGTGGGTAGGTATTATTGAGTTCTCTAACAGCATCTGTTATTTGCTGAAATGAAAAAATCGAGAAATAAATATGTCATATGTCAAGTCCATTGTGCATTTTATTGGCACCCGCGAGAAAGTGAGGTCTTCACCAATCCAAATTGCTCGCGCACTGACTTCACTGATGTCTGATCGTTTGAATTCTCTCGTTAATTTCTGCGTTTTCAATAATTTTTTATACGATGAATTGATGAAAAAAAGAAACAAACATTTATTTTGAGGTATTCCAGAGCCATATATTTCGAGATATATCATTTCTAGAAATGACTGGAAAGGCTTATTCACCGATAAACAAGAACAAGCTCATGTCATATGTAGCGGACAGGCACGATGATGTCACGATCATGTGACCTTGAATAGTTATAAGGCAACTCGCTATTCATAGGTAGTTGAAAGTTTTCATTGTTCATCGGCTCTTCGCTTTTAGATCTGAGTAGTTTTGATGATAATCCACCATTTACATGCAAGTGATGAACAAGATAACTCATTACTAATTTGTTTTTGTTTCGTAACATGGCGCCTATACGATGAGAGAAGAAGGTAAACTACCTTCAAATTGAAAGTTAGGTTTTCTGACAAATTTGGGCGTATTCTTATGTATTTTTTGATGTGCATAAAACCACCAAAATTATGGAAATTATATCATACGAAAACGATGGGCTCGAATTTTTATTCATAAGAATTGTGTGAAATTTATTATGATTTGACACTTTTTTGAATGTCATAATCGTTAACGTTAATTACCGCACTAGTATAGTTCTGGATATCGATCTGACAATTTAATTTAACATCTATAAACTGCTTTGTTTATACCTACCGTTGCTATAGTTACAAAAATGATCACAGGCAACTTGTATTTTCAATTATCAGATAACTGCCTGGGGAACAAAAAACCTAGTTGAATTCAACGCCACCAAAACTCAAGCCTGCATTTTCTCTAGAAAGGCGGAACTCAGTATGCCCGATATTGTAATGTCTGGCTCCACCATCGTGGGGACCCACCATATCTATGCTCGGTATTTCCATCAGCAACACTCTTTCATGGGATAATCATGTCAGATCCATCGCAAAAGCTGCTTCACAAAAACTCGGATTCTTGTTCCGTGCGAAAAGCTACTTTACACCTCAACAGCTTCTCATGATCTACAAAGCGCAGATACGGCCTGTTCTAGAATACTGTTCCCACATATGGGGTTCAGCACCAAAACATACGCTGATGCTCTTAGATTCCATCCAGAGAAGAGCCATTCGCCTGGTGGGTGACGCCACACTCACTCACTCTTTGACATCATTGGAACACCGTAGAAAGGTCGGCGACCTTTCACTTTTCTATCGATACTTTCACGGGCAATGTTCTTCGGAAATCTCTGCTATCATCCCTTCACTCGCAATACCAGTCAGACGAACTAGACAAGCCCAGTCAGCACATCCCTTCGTTGTCAACCTCGAAAGATGTCGAACAGCACTTTATCAAGACTCCTTCATCCATAGAACGGCTAGGCTCTGGAATTCATTGCCTGAGGAAGTATTCCCAACAACATATAATCTCCAGAAGTTCAAAAAAAATTCCAACACCTACCTCCTATCCCTATCCGCCCTAGGAACGCACGATGTTCTTTGAACATTATAGGGATTCCCTCTCGTGCGCTCCAAGCGATAAAAAAAAAAAAAAAAAAAATTTGGATGCACGAACTTTCACTACTAACAAGTTAGCATTAAAATTTGTTTGAAGCACCTGCTTATGTATCAAGAGTTTTTCTTTGATTCATCACCACTATTGTTATTCACTCAAAAACCGATCATTCTCAAATATTTGTATTTGGCGGGTGCGGGAGCGAAATCTGCTATCCATGCCCCCCCATCTACTTTATTCTTATTCGGAATATACTATACTATAGTTACTACGTCGTAAGATATAATGATTATGAGTTCTGTGGTTACTATACTTATCAACAAAAACGTACTGAATCATTCCACAGTTTTGGACACAAAATATGAATGCGATATTTCTTTCATAAAATGATATGGCGTGATGCTAAGGAGATGGTTTTTATGGTACATTCTCATTCACGAATTGTGTGTCAGTTGAACAGTCAATCAAAATGATGAAGTTAAAGTGAATGAACTGATAATCAATTAGCTAGTTTACAATATTGAAATGGCAATATATCCTTAAGGTGTATTATGAACGCGGCATATTTTTTCCTTCTGCGCATTCGAGAAAAATAGGAAAGGGGGCAATTTTTTGTAGGTAAAAAATCTTTTTAAATTGTATTTCATTTTCAGCGGTTTTTGGTAGTATACGAAAACCAATATCTAAAACTGGTCTCCTCGATTATATAGAAAGGTTCAGATTCAACGATGATTCCGAAATCATGCCGCCTCCATCGAAAATCATAAAAAGATGATTGACATAGGAACAATTTTATTTTAATTTTTAGATACAATTATTAATTTTCAATTATTTATTCAATGTTATTTTTATATGAGGTAATGAAATAAAGTTATTCAGTTTCTGTAAAGTCTGAAAAGAAAGCCTCCCTAGCATATTTATTAATCTTTCTTTTCATGCTATACTAACTAAAATGTTCATGACGGTGATGTGAATTATTCAATAAAAACAATCAAAGGATATATGTCTTTTTTAATCCTATTTATCCATCATATTAATAAACTATTCCAACGATTCATTTCCTAAACTTTTTGGAATTTTTTCTACTCGTTTCTTCTGAAAATAATGTACATTATCTTCTTTTATTTCGTAATAACAATTATTCTTGTCTAAGTGGAAATTGACAATTATTATTATCAAAGTATCATTAGTTTAGTTAGGATATATCAGATAAGATTTGCCCCAAAATAGTCAGTGACACCTTGTTTTAAAAAAATGTTTGAAGCAGAGGAACATAGGTATATCGAAAATATAAAACATTTTAACTTAGCATCGGACGCTTCAGGAACAAATCTGCTAGCAATTAGTTTCTTCTTTTTTTATATCTATTAATCGTTCTTGAATTTACCATTTTCCACTCAAATTTTAGGAGTGAATACCATGTGAATAATTTATTGTCTGTTCCTCAAGCAAGGCAATACATTGAGTATAAAATGGTGAATTCAACACACAGGGTGTAACGGTCGACTTCTGTCACTGAAAGGTGGCATTATAGTAGAAAACAAAGAGACCGCAATTGCAAAGAATAACTCCATTTTTATGTAAAAAACACTGAAGTAGATTTGTTTCCGAAACGTCCAAAGTTAAGTAACAATTCGATATTTTTTCGATAGGTATACCTGATATTCTCTTATTATAATCTTTAACTTCAAAAAAGGTGTTGAGTATTCATTAAATCATCGGATTTTTCCTTTAGACTGAAACTATAGGTACTCATATTTTTATTCATTGAAACGAGGAGAAAATCCCAAAAAATCTCGAGAAATGAATATTTCATCTCCTGGATTAGACAACATTCAGTAATTGAACTTGTGAATCACGAATTTCCATTTCAACTTTGGAATTCTGTCATTCAAAAACTGTTTCAAATTTTGACATTTTGTTTTTTTTTTCAAAATTTCGATACCAATTCGGCGTTTTGTTAGACTCTACTCTACTATTTTGAACTCAGAAAGTACAAGGTTATCCATAAAAGGGGCTCACCCTCTATATTCACGATATTTTCCACAGAAACAAACAATGTATGCCGTAGTTGAAAGTCACAAGAAGGACCTTATATGGCAAAATCTTCTCCTTGAACCACAATTCCATTTATTCAAATGGAACACTTTTTCGAAATAATAGATATGCAAAAAACATTGAAAAACTTCTTCTTGACAGTGCCCTGTGTATCTAGTGTATTAATTAACTCAAAATATTCCGCATTCTTTAAAATTTTTAACACTTAGAGTCTATTTAGTCAACTTTGTCTTCGTCTCAAGTCTCAGTTCTAGTCTCAGTCCTTATCTTTAAGAATAAGGACATGACTATTTATACAACTCTAGATATTAGGACTTAGGACTTCGACAAATTGACACAAATGGCAGTGACAGAAATGTCAGACATATAACCAAACTTTTTTCATTCTTCCAAATTTCATTGTTGATATTTTCTAAAGTGAAAAAAATGGATTCCTTTAATAATCAAGCATTAATCACTACTGGTTTGTATTTTTTGTTAAATGTAAGTGTCATTTGCACTATTATAAAATCCAAGAAAGTAGTCGTTTGTCAATAATGCCATGTACGCACTGAGCATGCGCATTGACGTCATGGTCTTAGTCCTAATTGAACATTGGGAACTCTCAAGGTCACGTTTTTAGGACTGAGACTTGAGATTGTGACAAATACTGTTGTATAAATGCTCTCATGCGAATGTGTAGAATCAACTTGGTTTAAGGACTAAAATTAGAACAAGGACTGAGACGAAGACAGAGTTGACTAAATAGACCCTTAATTTTAAACACCAGAAATTGCGATATTGAAACTCGGAATTTGTAGGTTGATTTTTTCGTTAAAATGTTTGATATGCTTGCCATTTCTAGGGTCTCATTTGTTTCATTATAGTTTGGAAAGCTTGAAGCAGTCACAGGTATGGTTGGAAGTCATGTCAACTGCCAACCTTTGTTGATTCATTCACAGTAACAAAATTTGTTGATAAAAGTACATAAATAATTGTTATTTGGATGCTTCGACGGATTGTAACCTCACTTCTTATAATATACCAGCCCAACCACACTAGTGTCGCCACCTGGGGGGAATATTGGACATCCCTGCCAATGTCGCCACTTCAAGTGATTTAAAAAAATAATAATGTGCTGTTTCATTCGAAGAAAAAAAAAAAGAATTCTGAATTGCCATGCTCGCAGGAATAGTTCTGTATCTCTGCATATTCCACATTCAGGACCTTGTTGAACCAGGGGTAAGTTTTTTAGTAGAAAAAACACATTCTCATTACTTTACATCTCAAAACTTGTAGGTATTCGAAAATCTCGCGATTTACAGTTTCATTGATGTGGTTTATTCTCTATTTATACATAAGTCAATATTTCCTTAACCTACTTGCACATAATCCAAAGATCTAACAATATATAGTCTACTAGATGCGCCCTTGCCTCACCGTCCTGTACAAGGTGTTGCATGTGCAACAAAGACAGGTAGGTACTGGGTAACCAGTAATATTCTGATCTATTTCAAATTCTCATATCTCTGAAACCATTTCTAATCATTGAAAACATATTTAGTTCACAAAATCAAAGAGGTGATATTATGGTTTTAATCCAGCATCTTTCTCCATGGACTTCATGGACAATTTCTGTACTGAGTTAGTTTATAATATAATGTGTCACGAATTTTTTTCTCAACTCTACTCGACCATCAACTGATTTCATTGCGCCATGTTATTTCTTGCGTTTTACTCTTAAGCTGTTTTCAATTCCTCTCTCTCTCTCTCTCTCTCTCTCTCCCCCTCTAGGCACTATCTAGTAGTTTGATATTATCAGATCTTTGTCGTTAACTTAAAATTCAAATACAGCCTTATTTCAAACAGTTGAAAATAAAATAATACTCAGTGTGTCCATAAAAAATTAGATTTCATTCGTTTGCCACCTGTCTTCCGAAGTTCTGACCCTTCCTTCCTTCGATAGTTTTGATAAATGGTGATTGACATTACTCTCAGCTGCTGTCACTAGGTTCTCGGGAATGTCAGTGTAAATCAGCCTCACTAGATCTCTTTCTTTGAATGTTTTCGAGCTGTTGTTGTTCAGAACATCCATTATTTGTCGTTCGCGTTCCATTCGATGGTTGATATAGAACTGAATTTTTTCCACTGGAGTCTGTAACGATGATTATTGTCAAAAGTTTGCTAGGGAATAATAGCAATTGACGCCGAAGTTACCTAGCTATTTGGTGTTCTTTATTACCCCAAGGAACAGATTTGTTTATAATAGGGATATATAAACATAGGTATGATATATATAAGAATTTAAAAAAACAACTAATTAACGAGTTATGTCAATTTAACATAATGATTAAAATAAATTCATTCCAAGTATTCAAATGAGAATAAATTGCTCCGTTAATAGTGTCATGAGTATATATTTTTTCATATTGACTTTGAATCTGGTTTCATCATCAATATGTTTCAAATCATAAGGTAATGAATTATATAAAATGATTCCGTTGTAGAATACTGATTGTTTATGGAGTTATATGGGTTTGCTATTAATGAATTCAACTGTCCCGTTTCATGAGTATGAATTGTATTTACTTCAGTAAAGTTCAAGTTGGATATTTTTATTTTTTTTCTCACAAAATGAATAAATGAAAAAAGTTTCATTTTACATAAAGATGATGAATTCAACAAATTTTTTGGTTGATAAAGATTAATAGTTGGTTCCAGGTAATGTAAATTGTAAATGCACTTAATTGTTTTATTTTGTAATTTCATTAATGGTTTCAAATGTGATCGATTTGTGCTTCCCCAAATTGATATTGAATATATCGTGATTTTGAGTAAATCAGACAGAAATATTTATTCTTCGAATATCTAAGAGGAGGAAAATTTCGAATTTTGTATAAAATGCCAGTAATTGAATTTACCCGGTTTCATAGTTCAGACAGTTATTTCATATATAAGGCGTAAGTAATTTTCATTGAAAAAAAAACTGCACTATTCAATTGAATCTACTGATATTCCTACCTCTGATATTCCTAAAATTATTATCAAAACCAAAATGTGACACGAAAATTTGAATAAATGTTCGGAAATCAAAAGCCAAGGTGCTTGTAGATTTTATTATCTAATGCTCAAAATTATTGTAGTTATCAATTATCAAATAAAAATATATCCCCCAAGGTACATTTCTGGGTACGCCACTGCATTGGAAATCAATCAGTATTCCATGATGAAAAAAATCTGTACTGCTAATGAGTTGAAAAATAAACAATAAGCACGTGAATTCGAAATTTTCAAAGAAACACTTGCTCATAACAATTCGAATATGCAGTTTTTTTTCAAATCAATCTATTATTCGTTTCTTGGGTTACTATAAGCACAGCCTATAAGAGACAAGAGAAATTGAATCGGGTATTATTGAAAGGAATCGAGGGACATTCATACACTATAGATAAAACTTGGAAAAACCATGTATTGTCATCAATACTCAATTTTTCAAATCGATTATACCTGGATGTTAGAATAGAGGTTTCAAAAAATCGTTTGTTGATGGTGGGTGGAAATATAAATGTTCAATTTCAGAAATATTTCTCTTCAATAAAATGGTACCGGGTGAGCAACTAAGAACGGCTACCATCAACCTTTTTTCCAATTTTTCCAACTTTGATCGTCAATATCTTCCGTTAGCGGTTAGCTATCATGTTGCAGTTGTCGGTCTATTGAGATTTAGTTTCTCTATTTTATCGTGTAATAATATGCATACATTACATTTTTAAGTCATGATATCTATTGATACTCCAAATCACGCCGACAGCCGTTCTTAGTTGTTCACCTGGTACATAGTTCCTTTTGATAATACT